ACTTTTTGTATGTGTTGCTTTTGTGCATGGTAAAGGCTATTTATAAACTAAAGGCTATTGCGTATTTAAAAAAGGGACACACATTTTGAAAATTGTATTCTTCAAACTGTTGCATGGGGACATTAATAGAGAAGATTTGATGTAGAGAGATAGATGATATCATCGTAAACCTATGTAGATCCTCATAGGGTGCAGTGTTACGCTCCAGAACATGGGGACAGTGGACGCCTTCTCAGTAATAATAACACACACCTACAATGATATATACATAGAGACCACAATCAGTCTTCACTTATTTCCACCTGATTTCACTTTAACGTCTTGTTGGAGCACACACACATATGCACACACTCTCTAACTCATTGCACCAGTGCTCATACATCAAATTCCGCAATCTATTCATAATGATGAACACACACTCCACTGTGACAGCTCTCTCTCTCTCTCTCTCTCTCTCTCTCACACACACACACACACACACACACACGCACACACACATACACGCGCCATATAAAACTCCCTAAAAAAAATCAGAAGGCTGTTTAGAAGAGCACTGACACATTTTTTTAATCTGGTGCTGTTGAACATCCCCCTGTGCCAAAACATTTTCATCATGGAAGCCCAGCATTGAGCCTCCTCTTAACCATGAGTATCCAGACTTAAAGGGTTAGTTCACTCAAAAATGAAAATTCTGTCATTAAGTACTCACCCTCATGTTGTTCCAAACCTGTAAGACCTTTGTTCATCTTCGGAACACAATTTAAGATATTTTTGATGAAATCTGAGGGCTCTCTGACCCTCCCATAGACAGCAAGGTAACTACCACGTTCAAGGTCCAGAAAAGTACCAAGATGATCGACAAAGTAGTCCGTGTGACATCAGTGGTTCAACTTTAACTATGTTAAAGTTGACTACGAGTTATTTTTGTTTTCTTTGCGAAAAAAAGTATTCTTGTAGCTTCGTAACTTTAAAGTTGAACCACTGATGTCAAACAGACTACTTTGTCGATTATCTTGGTACTTTTCTGGACCTTGAACGTGGTAGCTACCTTGCTGTCTATGGGAGGGTCAGAGAGCCCTTTGTTCCGAATTGTGTTCCGAAGATGAACGAAGGTCTTACGGGTTTCAAACAACACGAATGTCAGTAATTAATGACAGAATTTTCATTTTTGGGTGAACTAACCCTTTAACACCATTTCTCCATGGAGACATGGCCTTAATATCCTTCTTAACATTCTGTACCAACTTTAAAGGTTCAGAATCAATCAGTTCAAGTAATAATCAAATCAATTGGAGATCTGTTATCATCAGCAGGATTTCTGAAACTAACTGAGCACTGCACTGTGTTAGATATATTTGCAAAGGGGGAAGTCGTGGCCTAATGGTTAGAGTCGGACTCGTAACCCAAAGGTTGCGGGTTCGAGTCTCGTACCGGCAGGGATTGTAGGTGGGGGGAGTGAATGTACAGCGCTCTCTCCCACCTTCAATACCACGACTGAGGTGCCCTTGAGCACGGCACCGAACCCCCAACTGCTCCCCGGGCGCCGCAGCAAAAAAAATGGCTGCCCACTGCTCCGGATGTGTGTTCACGGTGTGTGTGCACGTTGGATGGGTTAAATGCAGAGCACTAATTCCAAGTATGGGTCCCCATACTTGGCCACATGTCAAGTCACTTTCACTTTCATACCGTTTATTGCAGTGGATGTGTTTTATAGCACTTTGCCTTCTGTCTTGTTTTGTGTAAAGTCTGATCCAGCTTAGTTTGAGATTGTTTGACTGACATGCAATGTGACATCAATGGTGGGTTTATCTGAAATATATTACACCATGAGGGGACCACCATGGAAAAACAAAGTCATTGGTTCTTGACCAGAATAAGTATAGACCAGGATTTCTCAAATCTGGCACTGGAGGGCCAATGCCCTACAGAGTTTAGCTCCAACCCTAATCAAACACACCTGAGCAAGATCATCAAGGTCTTCAGGATCCCTAGAAAATCACAGGTAAGGCCCTCCAGGACCAGATTTGAGGAACCCTGCTATAGACTAACCCTTATAAATTCTGCTCAAAGATCTGGCTGCACAAGACTATACAGGAACATTATATGTATTATTCATAATGCTGCATGATGCACACATAGACCTAAGTCCCAAAGACCCAGGAGCTGTATGGTTAAAAATAGTAGTAGTAATTCAACATTATTTCCCCCCGAGAATACACACACACACACACAAACCTTCCAACCAATCTGGACTAATAATGTATGTTTTTCTTGCTGCCTGTTACTCAAACTCTGCAACCGGAGCTAATTTCAAATCATCTGTCCTCATCCTTCTAGACCTGTCTGCTACTTTCGACACACCACATCTTCCTGTCCACCCTCTCTGAACTGGCCATCTTTGCTAGTTTGAATCCTTTAAGGTTTTCTGAAGGTTAGGTGTCTAAGTCACATTAGCTAACCACTGGGGTGCCTCAGGGTTCAGTGCTGGGCTCCCTCTTCATCTCCATATATACCCAACACCACGTAAAAACACACAGCTTTTTTTTTATTTTTTATCACAGCACCTTTCTATCATCACAACATTCCAACATTCACCTATCATCTGCTGAGACCATCTCAGCTTTTGATAACTTTCAAAAACTCCTTTTTCCTCTTTTCTTCTGCATTTTCACAGAGGTGTGGTCACATTTACCATTGTTTGGCAAATTTTCGAGGGCAATATCAAGTCATTTCAACAGGAATCTAAGCAATCAAGAATTTGAAGCAAAGGCAAAAGTTTTTCCCTATGCAGATTTCACAATGGGTTCAAGTTTGTCACTCGAATTTACCAAGTTGATCAACAGAAAGCTACTAGGTTTAAAAGTGACTTCTTACATTGCTATACTATTGGCAATAGACATTTTTGCTTGGAGATTTCACTAATGGGACCA